CCTCCCCTCTAATAGCAATGGCCTCCAAACTAATAGCGATGGCCTCCAAACTAATAGCGAGGGCCTCCAAATTAGTACCAAGTTAATAGCGATGGCCTCCCCTTTAATAGCAATGGCCTCCAAACTAATAGTGATGGCCTCCAAACTAATAGCGATGGCCTCCAAATTAATAGCGATGGCCTCCCCTCTAATAGCAATGGCCTCCAAACTAATAGTGATGGCTTCCAAACTAATAGCGATGGCCTCCAAATTTATAGCGATGGCCTCCCCTCTAATAGCAATGGCCTCCAAACTAATAGCGATGGCCTCCAAACTAATAGCGATGGCCTCCAAATTAATAGCGATGGCCTCCCCTCTAATAGCAATGGCCTCCAAACTAATAGCGATGGCCTCCAGCTACATTGGACACTTTCCATCCACCTTCTCCACGTTCCAAGACCAATGCGCCAGTTCGCCTGCTGGGCACCGGGGTGACCGCACGGCTGTGTCGCTCACCAACATCACCGCTTCACGTTGGCGCTGAAAAGAGGCGGAACCTGGGAGAACTTCGGAGAATAGAGAACTGGCTGGCATTTAAGCAGTAGGGTAACTGTTTTTGGGCGCAAGCAGTGAGACATCGGGTGTAGAAAGAAAAGAGCCCTTCAATGAACCATCATTTCTGGCAGAACATGAATGACTTGGAAGTGTTTGTTTGTTCTTTAATGCAGATGATGTAGCCAGGCCAGTGAATAGTATCACAAAGAGTGGTATTGGAGAATCCAAAGGGCCTGCAGAGCTTGGCACAGAATTCTTTGAATGTGCGGCCTACCTCCATCCTCATTATTTAATACTAGCTTCTTGTTACTAGTGGTAAGGTGCCTTGTTACTGGTAGCGTCCTTGCTACTAGTAGCGATACACCTTGCTGCTAGTAGCTGTATAGCAAGACTCTTCTTTTCGGAACAAAGGTTGGAACGAAGCCTCAAACCGCTGTGACCGGGTGACATGACACGAATGACCTCCGGCGGACCTGCACCCAGGTGGAGAGGCCTGTTGGATGCCTGGGGCGTCTGGCTGATGGCTGTGTGAAAAGTGTCGCTTTCGTGATGCCGATGTATGGATGTGTGTGTGTGTGTGTCATGGTCCAAATTTCAAGTGTAGTGGACAAAACAGGTTTCAAGAGTGACTTTGATACAATCTTCAGTTGAGGGTAAATAGGCCATCCACTAACTACATAGGGAGTTTGACCGTGGGACATAAGATGTATGTTGTTCCAACCGACAGATCTGATTCTGTGTGGATTCGAGTGCGTGCCGAGGCTTGGAGTGGAAAGCTGCTTTGGCATGGCACAACACAGACGGTACCTTCAAAGTGAGGCATGGCACCTTCTTTGCCTGTTTTGCTCGTGCTGTTTCATATAGCCCGGGGCCCTGCGGGGAGACATGAATGGTTTCAAGTGATTCATTCAAACTTTTCAGATCTCCAAGCTCCGTTGCACAGTTGCACACAAACTACGCCCACTGGCCTGTTTCACACCTGTAGACGATGTGTATCTGGGCCTAGGCACAATGAAGATTGCTTGAATTCAATTGGTGACTATGCAACTACTCTAGGGCCTCTTGTTCCTCAGACTGGAGGCGCTAGCTTAACTCGCACTCCGGGACCTGACGTGGCGCAGGTTCGAAGATGGTCGCGAGATCGAACGCGTTCGCCGGCGCAACCTGAAAGGGCAGGCGGCCCAGTTGAAAAATTGAGGCATTGCAGGTCAGCCTTTCTCTGAGGTATAAAAAGGCGGCGTTGAAGATCCATCACCGCCGGTTTCATAACATATGTATACATATGATTACATATGTTATAAGTGCTTGCAAGAACACATGGAAAGAAAATGGAAGATAGTAGATCTTGGCCTTCACTGCTCTTTGCCATTTTTCCGAGAATGCCTTAAAAAGTGCTGCGTGTGTTCCGTGTGTTACAAAGTAACTCAAAAGGGCCTACCTCTTGGAACGATCGTTGCGTCGCCTTGCGACGTGTCCCCCGAACGGGGCGCTACGTCTTCTTTTGGTTCGGAGACTCGGACGCGGGACCCCGTCGGGGCACGGGATCTGAGGCCCGGCATCGGATTGTTGGTGGAGAATGGCCCCCGGTTTGTCGCCAGCTGTGCCACCTTGCCCAGCTATGCGAAGCCTGGGCCTCAAGGCCTCAAGTGCTGGGCCTCAGGTGCCCGGGTTCGTTGGCCTTCCACGCAGCCTTGAGGCTGCTAGGATCTGTTCATCACATATTTTTGAAGATAATTGAAGGTTATGTGGCCAGGTCATGGCATCGAAATTAGCATCAAAATTGGCCTGACTGGCTAAGGGGGCGTTGCATTTCACCTGAAAGAGTCGACATGCAAGACAACTCGCCAGGATCCTGAGCTGTTGCTTTGCATGGCTTTGTTGGAAGTACATCAGGGGGCGGTTGACCCGAGAGGATACGTCTACAAAATCGAAGTCGGCCCGTTCGTCGTTGAAACCCTCGGTTACCTTTGAAACATTCTACGATATTCTACTAGTAGCCTTGCACATGTCCGGAAGCAGTAGCATAGTGTGGAACAACCTCAAAGGCAAATGTGAACTGCCCGATTGCTGTTGTACACTGCAGGATGAAATGGTTATATACATTTATATACTCAAGCCCATTTCATTGGGCAGATACCAAAAGTGCTGGGCGACCAAGGTTCTACAACAGCGGCATTGGAAGTGTTGACTGGGCCGCGGCCCAAGCAAAGAAAGAGTGCGGCCAACCCTGTCCCAGGAATTTCTCCAGGTTGCGTTTTGCGCACTTGCACTGTGCAAACGTGCTCAACACTCACAACGAGGGTCGAACCTCTCCTCTCAAGGTTGTCAAGCGGTGGTACCCAAATGCCGTCCACATCAAGCCCCTTGGCAATCAAAGTGGTGACTCCTCTTGCAAGTGGAAGAGAGAGAGAGAGAAAGCACAGCAGATCACTAGATGACATGTGATCCATGCATATCTATGCACAAACGGGGTAAACACTTTTTAGGCCACGGGGGGTGGGCGGGCCGGTAAGAGCAGTTAAGTAGGTAAGAGTAGGACGCATAGGGTATAGGGGCTCAGGCTCAATGAGTTGGTTCCTATTTTTGACGCAACATGCAGGAGTCCTTGGCTGCATACACGACATCCTGGTATCCAGCGGGAGGTGGGGAGCATCTTTTTTGGTACAATGAAAATGAAAGTCATATTTTGGTTGACTAGGCAACAGACCGTCAGATCAAAGCAATGATATCTCTGAATCACATGCAACATATAATAACATAGATGTTGTGGGAGCTTGATTCACGGCCACCCAATGGTTTAGTCAAAAGGAGAGCACTCCCGGTATAAGAATGCAGGAGAGATTTGCAGACTTATGCTTGTAGGATCTTGTAAGAGTTGTTCAATGCGTTTATGCTTTGCAAGTAATCGGAATTTGTGTGCTGAGTTGTTCAATGCGTTTACATGCAGAGGCCATGTGAACAACAGCGATAGTGGGTCAGGCTTGGGTCTACATTCCTGGTGAGAACAGGAAGATGGGTATGGAGACCTGTGAGCGAAATCCAACTGCTGACTGCCACTGACAAATCGATTGCGTGACCAGCCTTTTAGGCCCTTTCTGGCTGCAATGGTGTTTGTTTGATTTTGTTTGATATCATGTTGTAGCGTTTTCAGCGCCGAGGCCAAGCCAAGGGCACAGGTGCAACATTTTGGTGACAGGGGGCTTTGTGCCTGGCTTGTTGTAAAACAGCGCGTCCTAGGTGTGGTAGAGCATGACTGTCGCAAAGGCAGCTACAGACGAACAAATGAAGAACCTTCGTCCGGGCTCTATGATGCTTCCTCCGTGGTGGTTGCAGATCGCTGAATCGCTACGAAAAAACGCTACCCGTCGCAGAATCCGCGCAGGTAAGACAAATCTCCAGCTCCGAATCCAGAAGACCATCAGCATTCTGGAGGAGCAGGAGCGATCCGCAACTAAACGCTTGCCAACACGGCAGGATCGGATGGTAAGCTTGAGAAGTTCTTTGGGTCTTCACAGCTCACAGTGCACAGGGGGTGTGGACTTTGGAAAACAGAGCGTGATCAAGGGTTACTCTTCTAACCATGTCTATTGACTATGTTACCCTTTTGACTCACAATCACAATGTGAAGATCACAACGTAACTGGCAAATCTCCCAGACCATTTGCTCAAAACTCCTGCAGGTTACTAGTTAAGTTTCCCTAAAATCTAGGAGCCAAATCATTAGTGCGAGCTCTTCTTCAAGGAAGCTTCCCCCGCCACCACCTACCCCCCAAAAAAAACAAAGACGCAGACTCGGGCGCAGATCCTGCAGGGGCCAGAGGTGCGTACAATCATCTTCGCGAACACCGCAGAGGCTTGCCTCTCCTTCGAGATGGCTGGGGTGGCTCAGACCCTTTGTATTTTTGGTGTGACGCTGTGTGATACTAATTAGTCTCTTCTCCCTGCCATCCTACCTCACCAGCCGTTGTACCTTAGGCTGCAAAAGCGGCGAAGATCCAAATAGCGAGTGTCCACGCAGGCGGGATGCTCCGGACGCTCTGCAGTTTATTTTTGTGTTTTTTTGTTTTTTCTGTTGTAAAAAGAACCTACCCGCCTTTACTGCAGAAGACCCCTAGCTTCGCTGTTGGAAGAAAAGACAAATGTGTTTTTTTTAGTTAATCTGAGATCAACTGCTTTGCCATACTTGGATGGTTCGTTTGGTCGTGACTGATGGATGACCTATTCACGTGGCCTTCAGGTGTCGGCTTCTCTGAACGCATCGATGGGCTGAAGAAGTTCGGCCTTGGAGAGGTGCCACGATTTAGGACACCTCGGACGAATGAACTTAGATGAAACAAGAGCGCTGTGGCTCACAGCCCCCTTAATGAGTAGACTGATACGTATGACAAGTGTGGAGAAAAAAAAAGATATGGGTTGGCTCCTAGCACTGGGTCAGAACGTGTTGGTTTGGGCAAAGTTCAACTGTCTCAAACGATATATATATATATATATTATATGTATATTATAGTTAATGTTACAATATATTATATAGGTCCTTATAATATAGCATGTCGCTTGCAATACTGACATTCAGTGGGTAATGTCGCTTGCAATACTGGCCTACCAGGGGATATCCCAGGTATTCCCCCAGCATATGGACGCCTGCCACAGCTGCACCACGGATCTCACGGATCCTGTGTCACTCACGGATCCTGTCAGCTTGGCAGCTTGGCACAAGGACGTATGCCAATCACTTGCTAATTAAACTGATGTTCAACTCATGAACCTGTGAACCAACACAGCACAAGCTCATCAACCGTTCCCGATATTTCTTGGTGCATGTGGGCGAAGATTTGTACAACTCAAAGAAGCCAGAGGGTTCACCCTTTCGTCAACAAAGTGTATTCGAAGGTTAACAGATGAGCAGCTTCAAAAACCTCTATGATGAAAAGTATGCAAACTGTAATCCCACATTCTTTCGCGAAAGCCAAAACGCAGGTCGCGAAAGGTTCGCGAAAGCCCCGCGAAAGAACCCCAGAAGAACAGCGTGGCGAAAGCTTTCGCGAAAGTCGAATTTCTTGTGCATGTCGTGTTGTTTATGTGGGTGACCATATCTTTATGCAGGCAGCCGCAGCAGGCCAGCCAGCCAGCCAGCCAGCCGCAGCAGACCAGCCAGCAGCAGCAGCAGCAGCAGCACTGAAGAGCAAGTGTTTCAGGGGAAAATCGAAAAGCCCAGACGAATTTCCGCGAAAGCCGCGCGAAAGCCTCGCGAAAGAACCGCGAAAGTCGAAAATATCCGGGAAAGGTATCTGGCCCCAGCAAAAAGTTTCAGCAAGCTTTCCTCCTCTTCTCATGACAACAATAATACTTGAACGGTGCTGCTACAACTCCTTGTGCCAGGATGTTGCCGGAAAGAAATTTGTTTAGTTTTGACCACCCTAAGGACACTTATATCGGATAACTTATATAGATCAATCACTTTATTGCACAATATCCCAATCGAATTTCCCAATCGAAAACGAATCGCCGCGAAAGCCGCCGCGAAAGCCCCACATAACACCACACCTTCCGCGAAAGCCAGAATGCAGACCGCGAAAGCTCCGCGAAAGCTCTGCGAAAGCAAACCTGGATTATACAAAAAAGTAATAGGGGTTTTCGAAGCTGCTCAGATGATGTTGCTATATGTTGCTGGGTTAAAAAATACGATAACGCCCCTCGATGCAAAGAATTGGCTTAGGCTTAGGTCAAAGAAGAAAAGAACATTTTCCGGATTGAACAAGTTTCCTATAGTGTAAAAAAAAAATCTTTCATTGGAGAGAGCCTGTTTTCAAAATTATGAACGAAACTCAAATATAAAGTCAATCCCAAAAGTCAAAGACAAAAAACGTCAAATCAGAAAGTGTCAGAAAGTCCAAAAAAACGTCAATTTGCACAGATCCAACTTTTTTCGACAGTTTGGTTTCTTCTTTACTTTTGTTCGACTTGTTTTTGACTTTTGTTCGATATTGTTTTTGACTTTTTGTTCGATTTGTTTTTGTTTGACTGTTTGATGTTTTTCGACTTGTTTTTTTTTGACTTTTTCGAGGGATTGATGTTTTTTTTTGACTTGTTTATTTTGTTACTTTGTTAAATTGTTTTTCACCGTTTTGTTGTCCCTTTTTTTGCATTGTTTACGACTTGTTTCACTTTTTTTTAAAGCCTTGTTCGAGCTGTGGTCTATGTTTGATTTGTTTTTTTCTCCTTTTTTTGACTTGTCAATGTGATGTTGTTTGACTTTGACTTTTCCATTTGACTTTTTAAACTTATTTTTTTACAATCAAGGATTCTGGCCTTACCATATGAAAGATGTTTTTAACTCTATATAGTGTTTTATTGCTTGGCAGTATATTGTTCTGTAGAAAATCCCTTTGCGTTTTGTTCTTGCAGCACTCCCTTGGACACTTGTTTGTTTATTGAAATCTCTTGCTTTTGGCTTTGTACTTAGTACTGTGCCTTTCTTGCCGCGCTGCCTTTCTTTTGTGGTCGCGCCCACTCAGTCACATGTCCTTTGTTGATGTGTTCGTGCGGCACAGTCCGCACCTATTCAGCCTATGAGAAAACCGTCCGCGAAAGAGGAAAGCTTGGACATTCCCAAACGGTTCGTTCAGACGACATTAAAGAGCTGTTGAGACCATTGAAGTGTTTTCTGGATAGGCACGTGGGACATTGGACCGATGATGTATCGTTGCATTTATTCGAGCACTTGAGAAGATGAAATGAATTGCAATCTGCAGCTTTGAAAGTGGGGAATTCGCCATCATTAGAATTACTTAACTGCATTTCCACAAACGTTTAGCCAGGTGCCAGTGTTGGTGTGCACAGATCTCGGAGCGTCGGTGCCCAAAGCGTCGGTGCCAGTGTTGAGTCCCTCGTTGCAGGGTAGACCTTGATATGTTTGACTGCAGGTTAAGCCGGAATTGTTGTACTCGTACAATCAGAGTAATTTATGATAG